GCTAAGCTCTCCTGGATTTCAAGGGCAATACTGAAATGCTGGTTGCTGAGCATGGGCAATCCTTTCCTTCACAGAGAAAGCATGGCCAGGCTGTTGGCACAATGAGGTACATTCATGTCTTCCTCCACGTGGTGGTGGGTGACCATGGTGCTGTGCCAGGCTGCGAAGGAGCTGAGCTGGGGCACCCATAACTCCTTACACCTACAGTGTTTTGCACTGGGTTTAGGGTGCAGGCCTGGCACCAAATGAAATGGGTTGTAGCTACCCACACTCATTACTGCCTTTGGGACTTAGGAAACAAGGATGTGTTTCACAGGGTTTTTTTAGCTCTGGTGCACGGGACCCGTGGGACAGAGCCGACAGTTCCTTTTTCCTGAGCTGTGCTGCTGGGAGCACAGGCCGGGAGCCCCTCTGGCCTGGGGCTCCCTGGGGGTTTATCCTGTCCCTCCTGGCAGCTCCTCTGGGAGTGGCTTTATCTGGGTAATCAGGTTGGGGGTCCAGCTGCTGCTTTTGCCTGCCACAGGAGCACATTACAGAGGGATTAAAGGCTTTGTTTTTGAGAGGAAGCTGAGGCAGAGGAAAGGCAAGCAAGCTGAGTGCGGCTCCTCCAGCACAAGCCTTTTGTCCACCAGGCCTGGCTGCCCCAAGGACGGCAGGGACAGGGGTTGATTTTCCTCTTAAAGATGATTCTCTTGTGGGGAGTATTGAACATCTTGTTCCCCCACCGGATCTGGGCCCGGCCCGGTGCATCGACCCATGTGCTGGCAGGCTGGGCTGGGCCTGTGACGCTGCTGCCATCTTGGCCCCTCGCCCAGCGGCCGTAAATCTCAGGCTTAGGCTGCTGTTGACGCAGCTCGGCTGCGCATGGGATCATGTGAAACACTTTGTCAGTGGCTGAGGCAGGTGGTGAGCATTGCTGGGGGTTAGGAATGGCTCCGTGTGTGATGGGGCTGCCCTCCCTCCCCACAGCCTGTGGGGCTGGGCCGGAGCCCGTGGGGACCGCCCTTGGCTGAGAGGTTTGGGTGCCGGGCAAGGCCAGACAGGGGCAACCACCCTCTTACCAGGGGTGTGGGAGGCTCTAATGGCAGCAGAGATGGAAGCAGAGCTGTGAGGCTGGCCCCGGGTGGCGGGAGGTGGGTGTGATGACTGCACTTCCTTGCTTTCTCTCTGGAGATGGGTGCAGGACCAGGCAGCGACCTGGGGGGACTTCATCTACCTGGTGCAGGCAGGGAGCAGAGGCTTGGGGTGTGTTTTGGCAGGCAGGTGGGCAGCTCCAGGCTCACTCTGCCTCTGTGAGGCTCCATTTCTACCTTGTGTCCCCCTTAACAGCTTTGCCTTTGAAGTGCCAATGTAGCCTGACCTCCAAGTGCCCAGTGCTTGGCACAGCTGGATGCAGAGGCTGAGAATGGATGCATTGGGTGGAGGAGGAGCAGCAGAAACTGGTTGTGTTGCATGGAGTAAACCTGCTCCTGAGGAAAGACAGGCTTGTTTGAAAGCTTTCTCCAGTTTATGTTGCCTGGATCTTTCTGAGCCTTGCAATGGAGAGTGTCCCACCTCAAGAACCTGAATCATGGAAGACCAACACAGCGCGAGCTCATCCCTCCTGCTGTCCCCTTCAGCAGTTGTTGGGCCAACCTAGGCTGTGTCTCTGGGCTCTGGATGGAGCCAGGAGTCTCCCTGCTCCCATGTTCTTGTCACTGTGGGCCAGGCATGGCCCTGGTGTCCTCCATGTACTGCCTGCACTGCTCCTGCAGTGGATACCATGGGTGATACAATGCTTTGGGTCACACAGGGTAAAATCGGTTGTTCCCAGCAAGGCAAGTGTGTTGAAACCACCTGCAGGACGGATCCTCCCACTTCCTGGCAATGCAAGGTGCCCCTGTTGACTGCGCAAAGGAGATGGGCTAAAAACCCAGCATGCTGTGGCCAGCTAGGTTCATAAGATCTCCCAGCAGAGATCTGCCATTGACACTCATGGGGTTGGATTCACCATTACTGCTCCTCTTCAGTGTTCATGAACTGCGTGGGTTATTTCTTACAGGTTACGAGGGAAAAAGCAGCATTGCTACACAAGGAACTTTCTGACATGCTAATTCAGACTAGGTCCTTGTGAAGGTGCTTGGAAACTGTACTGGGCCAATCCATGAAAAACACTAAGGTAAGTCTGGCCATGTATGGCATTATTTTTGGAACAGATCCCCTCATCCACTTTTTTTTCACGTGCTTGACCTTTGCAGGACTTCTGCATCAGGACAAGTTCTCATGCACAATATAGTGCTCAGTTAAACAAACAAATCTATCACCTATGTTTACAGGTTTATAAAAACTAATGTTACCTTTTATGGTAACACAAAATCTGACTTTTCTTTGGTCTAAACACTGCTGCAGATTACCTGGTTGCTACCAGAGTGTGGGAAACTCTGCTGAATGGCAAGTGGTATCTATTATGACGACATTTAATTAAACATTTGAACTGGATGCCCCTGCTTCCTGTTCCTAGTCAGCTAACATCTTTTAGATCTATAAATTAATAACACAACTTGATTTAAATTGTTGTAAACTAGATCTAGTTAGGCTAAAACCCACATACTTAGTAATGTATTGGATCAGATTATCTTTGCTGGAGTTGTTTCAGCCATTGACTGCATAACTAAGTGTATTTATTATCAGTATCTCTGAGACTGCTAGAGTGACAAACCACATACTTCCCAAATTGGTCCATAAGAGAGTCCTGAACCAAACGAGGCAGATCTCTAATGACAGGAATGAAAAGGCATGTGACAGCATGGGCTGATAGTCTAAAAGTTGCAACAGAGGAGTGCTTGTGCTGCCAAACGAGGCAGATCTCTAATGACAGGAGTGAAAAGGCATGTGACAGCATGGGCTGATACTCTAAAAGTTGCAACAGAGGAGTGCTTGTGCTGTGAACACTTGACTCAAGGCAGGAGGTGTGCAGCTGAGGAAATCCATGGCAGTTGGTAACTGCTACTTCGGACAAGTTGTGCTGAGCTGTGCACTCACCACATTTTCTTGGTACTTCACCAAACTGTAAAGATGGTCTTAGCCCCACCTGGCAGTCCCTTCACAGCCCCACGTCAGCTGATGCCCTGCATTTTGTCACTCCCGACCTTAATCCTCACTGTAAACTGCACTATCCCTGCATCAGCTTTTGTTCTGGGTGTCACTTGAAGCATGACTGTACTTCATCCTTTATGAGAACAGGAGATGAAGAAGTCTGCATCCCAGCAGACCTCACATGGTTCAAAGCCTGTTTTCAAGAGTCAGTATTTTAACTCCTGCTTGGAAGAAACTTCCTGATTTTTAGAGACCCCCACCTGCAGTTACTGGGGGCTTGGGTCACTCCCAAAGGAAGCCTGAGGCTCTTGCCTGGTTGGACTGTGCAGCCACACATGGAAAAGGTGTGCCCTTCCCAAGCATTACACACCACCTTATAACTGCTTAACTGAAGAGCCTCTGGACACAGGCTTCTGGAAATAGGCTCCTGATTAGCAGGTGATCAGCTGTGAACAAGATCAGTGCTGTTCAAGTTAACCTGAACCTGAGTTAACCACAGGCTTACTCAGTCTGGAATTAAATTGGCTCATGACTGATGCATCCCAGCCTGCCAGGTCTGGGGCAGAGGTCACTTCCTCCCTTACATGTTATTTTCCCAAAGAAAGGAAGGATACATCCTTAGGCTAAGCAGGTCTAAGTTTTCCCAGTCAATGTTATAAAGCCAGAAGGAAAATCTTTATTGAGTGTACGAAGTCTTCCATAATTGTGGGAGATGCAGCACCCTGTTCATGCTCACATTATTTCATGTAATTTCATGTAAATTCCTAAGAACACCTTAGGAAAAGTATTTTGGCTCAAATCTGTAACATGGTATTTACTCCCAAATAGAGCAATGACATGGGCTGCAGAGCATTGTTATTACAGCACACAAGAGACATAAAATATTATGTACTTTAGACACCAATTCTTAAAAGTTGTCTTTATCTAAGTCCTTAGTGGTCAGTGCATTCAAAACAATTTTTCCTTCACATCTTTCAACTCCAAATGCTGATGCTGTTCTGCAGAGCTGGTTAGTTCAGACGTGCAGCTGTATTCTACTTTAAATGGTCACCAATCACAGCAGTAGCTTCCGACTATGTATTTGTACTAATTACTGGTGTAATTCAGTCAGTTTGTGTTTTCAGTAGTTTAAAACTAGGTTGGATTTCATGTTCATGTATCAGGAAGTATATTTTGGGACAGTGTAGTTCTGTACAACTGT